GAGTGTGCACTCGTTCTGCCTGGCATAACTTATCTTCTCGAGGCAGCAAATTTCATTTCATCTGAGTTGCTGCCTCGGATGTATTGGCGCTGTAACAACCTGAAGGGGTCAGTGGATTGCTGCTGGCTGCTGCGTTCTGCGAAGCCTGAGGCAACCAATCATTGTGTGCGGCGACTGACCAGAACTCGGGGCAAAACAACTCACCAATTCGGCTGTTGTCGTAATCAAATATGGGGTAGTATCTCTTCAGGAACACGTTCCCCAACACCTGATAGCTGTCTTAGTAGCTTGCCGTCAACCCGCACCACGTACATACATAATATATGTACATAATTGTATTACATATATTTATTTATACTATACAACAGGTCGCCTCATAGATGGCTCACAACAGTCCGGCTTTGTCCTGGAGGTAAAGGGAGGGCCATGAAGGCTGACGGGCAGTCGAGGGGAGAGGAGGAAGCTGAGGCTGCATCGCCTTCTGTATAGTCTTCGGGGTCGACGGAGAACTCTTGCGGGTCCTCTCCTGGAGAGGGCTCAAGAACAAAAGAGAGGCGTTTCATGTTTGCTTTTCTGTNAACTCTTGCGGGTCCTCTCCTGGAGAGGGCTCAAGAACAAAAGAGAGGCGTTTCATGTTTGCTTTTCTGTCTGCTTCTCCGCACAGAGAAATTGCTCCGGTCTTGTCAAGGAGTTGTTCGATGAAGGCGGGAGAACCGCCTATACCAGAAGTGCCCGTGTCGATCACCGCGGTGCAAGGCAGCTGGGGTGTACAGAGACCAACAGTCGCCTCGTCCACCAGCACATCCCACAGCCGCACTTCCCATTTCTTTTGCTGCCTCTGTATCAGGGGAAACCACGCGACTGCAGCGCCCTTCTGTACGTAGCTGCAGAGATGTTGTACGGCCTCAATTTGCAAATGAATTTCAGTACTTGTTGCTTACTTGGGGTTAAAACCACCAAAAGTAACTTCGCCTGGTGAGGACACACTCAGAGGAAGAGCTATTGCGAACATCGCACGCCCAATCGCTCCCGCCTCCACCAACTCTCTCACTAGAGGGTCCGACTCTTCTTCGTTTTGTGGGTACCCTGAAATGGTTTTCTCTTGGATTAAAAAAGCAGCACAAGAGAGAGGGAAACGTTGGAATGCACCGAGGCCGGCGATGCCGTCGAAAGCTGCAGCATATGCATTTATGTATATATTGTTTTTGTGTTATTGAGCTTTCTTCTCACGAAGTTCAGAGAAGGGGTGATCCGGCTGTCGGACTACAAATCCAAGAGCATAGTTGGGGAGTCTAAAGGCAATGAATTGTGCTGCAAGTGGATCCCAGATTGAGGGCGAGAGGGGAAACTGCTCACGTAGCATTTTGCAGGTGGAGAGAGTCTCTGCCTTCCACTGAATCGATGTAACCTGAGGCGTATGTCACGCGTGTTTGCTTCTGAGGTGCTGCTGCTGCTGCGGTGACAGCTCGGTCGAACGTCGCCGACAGTTCGGGGTTGAACCGCCTGTGTTGCAGACAAGAACCCACGAAGCAGCTGATGGAAGGCACCCAAGTGTGCGAGCTTCCTGCAATGATATAGTGATTGTGCTCAGCCTGTTATGCAGACACGGCGGTCAGAGCTGCGCGCACCTGTGTCAAAGAGAACTCTGAATTGTTGAGGGGGAGTTCCTATTCCAATGCTACCGTAGAACCTGAGGCGTGAATCATGCCGTCTTGTTCTCGATTTCGAGCTAAGCTACAAACTAACTGGGGGCTTCCGTCCGTCCAAAGGGGCAACGTCAGCACTTGAGAGCCAGGCGGACGTCCCAGACGGGGGCCTGAGCTGTCGAGGGCTTCACAAGAGAGTGTTCGCTTCAGATGGAATAGGGGCGATTCAGCTTCAGCTCACTCGAAATATTCGGGTGGTGGCGTCGCGAGAGCCTCCCGATTCCTCCTAATGGACTAAAGAGGATACCCGCAAGCAACAGCTGTGAAAACAGGCGGATCCTCTCCATGCCCGCTGGTGCCAGTTGAAACCTCAAGAGCGCCCCATCAAGCCGCATGCAATAGACTTCTTTTTTGGAAGGGAATCAAATTGTAAATCAAATTGCACAGTCCCCCACCTTCGCCCTATGACGTTGTTGGTGGTTTCTGGTGATGAGACGTGCAGCCGCTGTGTGCTCAGTGTATATACAACGTTAGTGAGTCCCATCCTTCGGGAAGCCCTTGTCTAAGCCTACGGTTTGTTTAGCATGCATGCAGAAAGGCTGAGATACGTGAAGGCTGAGAAATAAAAAGCAGATGCAGATCATCTCTACAACGAACTCGGCAGCACCATATGACCGTGCAGCCTTTTTCCAGTGGTTCCCTGGGCCCAAGTTGTCCATTGGATTCCGGACGATCCACCTTTCTGCATGTCTTCTAACTCTCAGAGAAGAAACGCAGTCTAAGCGAAATCTCTTATTCACTGTTTCTACTGCAACACCTATTGACACGGCCTATACATCTCCAGCGAACAACGGGAGACGGCGTTGTACTGCTATTAACCTGTGTGCAGTTTTTGCTCAGCTGAATCTGGAGTGCATGCACTTCAGCAACAAATTCAACTAGATGAGAAGCCAACGGCTAAGGCGAACGAAGCCCCACAGTTGTTCCGCTGCCGACGCTTGTGCTGCCTTGCCTGCAGTCAACCGGCCAAGCGCAATACGGTGTCCAGTTCACAAACCTTAGCTCCTCAGAAAAAATCAAACACAAAACATATACAACTTCAATTTATATGAGTTCGTCAAAACTTTTCGTGAGAGATGAAATACGTCGGGTCCTGAACCCGAGCGGAGCGCACCGCCGATTCGGCAGCAACGCGTGTGCCGTGTGTATCCTCTTCTTGTTTGTATTCTTCGAGAAGGTTCAACAAGAGGAATTGATTTCTACATAAAGCATCTCTTCATTCACTTATTTCCTTCTTTATTCTGGAGACAAGCTCCTAGAGAGGTGGCGGCCGCCAAGGTACAGCTTCAGTTGAGGGCCCCAAGACCGAATCGACAGACTCCCGGCGCAGAGGCGAAGCTGCAAAGTTGAATTGAGGGTTTCCTTGAAAGCCAAGAAGAACTGATGAACGTATAGAGTGGAGAATGTGAACTGCCAGCGAGACCATCCGGTCTCATTCGCTCTTCTTCCGCCGCTTAGCTGTAGTATATAAATATATGCATATGTATATCTATATGTAGAAGGGCTTCGTCCCACCGCCAGAACGGCCTCTAAGCTCTCTTCTTTCTCCGTGTGTATTCACAGCGACCCCATCGCAACCCCGCTCCCCCTTCCCTCCACTCCACCACACTGCAACCTCATATCTCACCACATGTGCAACAGTCTTTGAATGATGACAACCGCAGTCACGGAGGAGGCTCCGCGTTACCCGCGGCTGCCTGCTGATTTGCAAGGGCTTCCGGCGACGATGGCATCTGCATCTGTTGCTGGTTTGTTGTCTCGTGCGTTGATACATCCACTAGACACCGCCAAGGCAGTGATTCAGGTGCAGGTGAAGGCGGCGCCGCGACACGGTGTACAGACGCTGCTAGGCAGCTCGCGGACGCTGCAGACGTTGACCTCTCTCTGGCGCAAGGAGGGCCTCGTGGGCCTCTACAGGGGTTTCGGGTAAGCTGCTGCAGGCAGCCGTCTGTGTGCTCTCTTTGTCTGCTTCTCATATCGCAGCTACAGCAAGAATAGCGGCCGATGGCGGGGCGTTTCGATCTGCTGAGGCTGTGTGTGCAGCATCACGGCTGGACTGGCAGTGCCAGCGACTTGTCTGTATTTTAGCGCATACGAAGTCCTCAAGGCGCGGCTGCTGTGGCTCTCCCGTAGCCACGAGGAGCAGCAGCAACAACCGGAAGCAGCAGCAGCAGACATCAGCTTCACAAGGGCGCTGCTGCTAGATTCTGTTTGCGGATTTACTGCAGAGGCCATCGCCTGTCTCCTCTACCTCCCCATGGACGTATGCAAGGAACGCCTACAGGTGAAACCGGTGAACCCCGCCCCGGCGCTGCAGCCGCAGCTCCAGCTGTTTCTGCAGATGCAGCTGTAGCTCCAGCCGCAGCTGCATCAGCTGTGTGCGTTGCAACAGTTTACGGTGCTGCGGGAGGCGGTGAATCTACCTCTGCCTCCTCCCGCGCGGGGGTGTGCAGCTTGCTAGCGGTTGAGCTGCTGCTGTGAAGCAGTGTGGTTGCTGCTGCTGCAGGTTTACACATCAATGCAGCCCGATGCCGTTCAGAAGAGAAAACCAACGCTTGCCGATGTCGCGCGGATGGGGGGCCTCCGCGGCCTTTACAGCGGCTACGGCGCCACCCTTCTTTCTTTCGGCCCCTTCAGCGCCCTCTTCTTTACCCTCAACCACGTAGGGGTAGCAGAAGAGTTTCATTACTTCTTTAGCATCACTTTATTGTTTCCTGTGGCATTTGCATGTCTGTTTGTCCACCTATTGACTGTCCCTCCGCACTTTGTTTTTTACCCGCTCTTCTATCCGCACTGACGAGGCTTTATTTCTGCTTAGTGAGTCTGCTGCTGCGTCGACATTTGCTGCTGCGTTTATGTTTGCTGCTGCGCTGCTCTGTTGCAGCAATTTGGCAAGGCAACGAGCCGCCTGCTGCAGCCGGCGGAGGCTGAGGGGTCTTCGGGTCGGCCGTCGTCGTCTTCTGCTGCTGCTCCCAGCAGTCCTCTCCTCGCGGCGTCTGTAGCCGGGGCTGCTGGGGGCTGTGCGGCCTTTCTGACGGCCCCTCTGGACAAAGTGAAGCTCAGGTCCGCCGTCAATAGAAACAAACAAACAACAGCGAAACAGAGATAATCAAGAATTACGAAACAGGCAGTGACTCACTGCACGCATAACGTAGTTGTTCAGTAGTCCCACACCCTAACAAATATTGACGTATAAAGCAAATATATATATATATATATATATATATATATATATATATGTATGTATGTATATACTTGCACATATATTGTCCTATGTTGAGCTCGGAACAGGTGGAAGGCGATGCTGGTTCAAATCAGTAGAGAAGAATAGGCATTGAGTTGCCGCTTTATTCGATTGTTTGTCTCTACCATTTTCTCTATCTCTCCCTCTCTGTCTCTCTGCTTGTTTGTTCGTCTCTGTCTCTCTGAGTCTTTGCGAGAGCTGATGGGTTTTGGTTCGCCTGCTCTGCTGACTTGCGACACTCTGCAGGCTGCAAGTGCAAGTGGAGGCCTCTGCAGGTCGTCGGCCTCCGTTTTACTACAAACACTTTTTTCATGTGAGGCGATGCTGGATATCCTGTTCTTGGCTCATTAGCTGGGGTGTATGCACACAAGTACCAGTTGGGGTGCAGGAACTGTTGCTGCGTTGTTTGTTCGTTTCAGGGTCTAATTTCTCTCTGCAAGACTGAAGGAGTGGCCGGGTGTTTCGCAGGTGTTGGAGCGCGGACGATGTTTCACTCGGCTTCTCTTTTTATGACTTTTCTCTTCATGCAAAATGCCCGCAACCTATACTGCCGTTACTTCGAGGCCTAGCCACCTGCAGCTGCAGCAGCCGCAGCAGCATCGGCAGCTGTAGCAGCAGTCATGCCGCGGCACCTTGGGCACATATAATCACTCTTTATGCTGAGAAACCAACGACTAGCTTGGAGTACAGCATTCGTATCTCAACTAGGATATCTAAAAAGAGATTAATTTAGCTAAGGCAACAGAGCAGCTTCGGGAAAGTGGGGTTGAGTTATTTCCCTGTGCTGGTCTGAGCAAAGAGTTCGCGATAAAAGACAAATTCGATAGTCTTTCACAGCGCTGTATCTGCTGCATTTCACTTCTGCAGCTGCGGTTGCAGCTGCGCCTACAAGGACGCCTATTGGCAGAATAGCAGTGCAGCAATCGCCGCAAAGGCCGCAGTAAGCAGCGCCGATACGGGGTTGTCCTGAAGTGAGCGATTCATCACGCGAGCTAACCGCCTGCGTATTCTCACAAGAATCTGCTGCCGCTGCATGACAGAGGGCTCCTTAGAGCATCAGAAGAGGTAGTTCTGCCCGGCACTGTCGTTTTGGAACGGTTTCACGTTTGACGCACGTGTATGAGCACTTACTTTTTCTGCTTGCTGCGGAAATAGGCAGCTACAGCATACCACAGATTAAACAGCAGCCTGAGGGATTGCCAGTGTTCAAGAAGAAAGGAAAACAGCGCCTACTTACCTGCACTGAGCCGAAGGGAACGGCAGACTCAGATTTGGCATGGCAGCCTTGCAGTTGGCTGTGGCCTGCGACGGCCCCACTACAACTTCAGGTAGACACCAAGAGGCAACGTCCTGCCAAAGGCGCATGGCGTGTGGGTCTAGAAGGTTTGCAGGCGTTAAGTTCTCCGTGCGCTATTCTAGAGAGGCTGCAGGTGTTGTCTATCTGCTGTTTAGGGTCAGAAGGATTCCAGCAATGCGAGGTCAGCATGTGTTGCTCTAGTGTTGAATCCTCAAGCTAAGTTTCGTTGTACGGCCCGCTGTTTGCTTGTATTTCCTTTTTGCTTTCCCTTCACATATTCACATTTATTGTGCGGTGGCTTGTTCTGTTGACTGCAATTGGATGGGTGTTACTGCGTTTTAAGGGGAGTGCATCGACTCTGAACATGAAATGCAGAATAACTAATGTTGGTACCGAAATGCCGAGCTCCCCCTCATCTCTTTCAATCCAAGTGCTCTTCGAGAAGCCGCGTAGGAAGTTGAGACGATCAATAGTGTAGTAATTGGAGAGGCAGAAGACGGCGTCGCGCAGAGCCAAGCAGCCAACGGTGTCCCAGGCTGTCCCGTCGCAGGCCCAGAGAAGCTCGTTAAAAACATCTGGAGGCGCAGTGAAAGCAGAAGTGAAATTTACTGTTGCAAACCACCCGTTCTTAGAGGATAAATAGGCTCTCATCTGGCTGACACTACCGCTAGCTAACTTGCTAGCTGCACGTGAGGATGCATGTAGAGAGCTACAGCTGTGGTTGCAAGTAACCATGTCAGTCAGTACCCGATTCCTGAACCGTCAGTATGTCCTCCAGCATCAGACGGCGGGCTTCCCTCAGGTCACCAAGATGAACATGGGGAAAGTTCGTAGTTACTCCTTGTGCAATTGCTGGGCCTACCACTTCACACATGCTGGCTGCGGCTTTTAATACTGCCTTCTCAGACACCACGCCAGACGGTGTCCACCATCTGGCTCACTTCTGCAACCTATGTGTGGCCTGCAAGTCTCGCGTGGATGGGACAGTCTAAGGGGTCGATGACCACTAGTAAACTATCGCCCTAGCTAGAACTGTGTTCTTAAGGGGCTGGCTACGCGCTTCATAAGGGCGTGTAAACTCTGTCTCTGGCAAAGTCTGGGTTCTTAAGGGATTACCACTTGCGTAAAACAGGCAGAGGAACAAAAGAGCGGAAAGGGGCAGAGGCTTCATCCCTTGTAGTGCTCGTTGGAGGGCGTCCAGCAGACGCCCCCCTCACATTTGCTTAATGGCCAATCTAATGAGTGGAAAATCAGGGAGTTCCACTATACGGGAGCTTAAACCATTGTTCATTAGGTGGGGAGCGCCGTGGCGGAGCCAGTAATTGCATTATAGCCCGGAACAAGGCTCGGGTCCAGTGCACTATCGACACAGGGCGACACGCATCATTCGCCGACGGCGACTGCAAGACGGAACTGCTCAATTTAGTTTCTGGAATTTGCGTTCCATCCATAAAGCTCCTCGTAGTGCTCCTTTGCTCGGAGTTGATCGCCGTACATGTTCCGCACTGCGTAAGGGCCTTCGGTTCCGCCTGTCTATGGGCCAGAACCAACTGCCGTTCGCTGGCCAACACATGTTTCACTCCATTCCAGTGCAGTCACTGAAGCGGAACCAAAATATACTGAAGAAATAGTGCAACAAGGAGGCATCTGCAACATAGCGACCCACCATGTAACCTTCCGCATTGTTTGAAGGGTCACCTCTGTCTGCCGCTGTGGTTACCTAGATATGCTGTCCGTGGTTATGCTCCACCCGAAACGTTATATACGAAGTGATATCAACGCTGTCCGAATTCACCTGCAGAATGGGGAACTCCAGCTAAGTACACGGGCCTATGCCACCCGTCAACAGTGCATCTGCTGTCCGTGACTCAAATGCGGTGCGTGGGAATACGTGACGGTTTCCCTCGAACATCATTCGACATATCCATTTCCCTACAACGCATATCTGAGACAAAAACCGGTGTTACGAGCCAGATGAAAGAGCCGCTTTAGGGTTGTGGGCAGACGGTCCACACCATTGCAAAGCAACTGCTAAGCCAAATAGAAGGATCTTCAACGCGGCAAATATCATAGTAAACGTTCAACCCGTGGATGCGTAGTCTTCCTAGCACTTTGTGAACTGACGCTGCCACGTCGCTCAATCGGACGAACAGGGATACTTCCGCTGCGAATGAACGGGCCGTGTAGACACGCACAGCTTTTGCTCGACAGCGCGCAGCCTCCACAACTGCGGCCATGACATGTACAACGATACTGTTCACAAGTCCCATCGAATTGGCTTCCTGGAGATTATACTACGGAAAACATAGGGATGTTTTCGCTGCACACTAGCAGATCCTACCCCGTTGCATAGGGTTTGCCGGCAACAGTGGGCAATGCAAAATTTCCTGGAGAGGACAGTGCCTCGCCCTTGAAGGTAATGCCACCGTATCTTTCTGAACATTCAAAGGGAAACCTAGAATTTCATCAACCCATGTCTGGGAAGCTTCCGTGCAGTAGGTTTCACGCTAGCATCTCATTCTTCAAAAACCAGAGTGCATGTGTGCCTATGCCTAGATTGATTATTGTGTTCCATCAAGAAAATTGTCAGTTATGAAGCCAGCGTCAGCCTACTGACTATAACTCTGCCGTTATACGACTGGAGTAGAGCCACCCGTAAACACGAAACAATAAATTCTGTATTAGTCTGCGGCGGGCACAAAGCCGCCATATTGCAGGACTTAGGTATCAGATTCAATGCAACTGATTTGCGTGAATAGAAAGCCCCTATCGACCGGCCAAGAAAAACAGTTTCTCTCGAAAGTGATAGCATTTGAAGGCAAAAAAGCTGGGGTGTCTGTACAGCTGCCAGGAATTTTTAACATACAGTGTCTTGAACAGCGCCGAACAGCGCCTTGTTCAGTTCTTGCTTTTGTCAATCAGTTATCGCTTAGCCTTTTTTCTATCGCGCAATCCATTTTTTTTTAAAAAATGAGGCCTTATATTATTGCTGTCACACTGTTTTGTTCGGCCACGGGGTCTCGCTCCCTAACAGCTGCAGACGGCGATGCTAACGCAGATGGCCTTGCAGAGTCGGTGACGCGACAACTCAAAGCGATGCCACCAGCAAAGTGCATCTGCAAAGATGGATACACTCTCACTGACGGAACGTGCATCCGGACAATGGAAAGTGAACCTCAGGTAAATAAAAGTTGACTATGTCAAGCTGTGTACGTTCGTAATGCGGTTCCATTTCAGGAAATATGCCCAGTCGGAAACGTGGTAGACGGTCTCTGTATGCTGCCAGCACAAGCTGTGCTGCAGTGCCCTGACCACTACACCACGGTTTGCAAGAAGAAAGACAGAGTAGAATCACCTTGCTGCGCCAAAGCAGAGATGGCAGAGAAGATTGCTCGCTGTCCAGACGAGACTGAGTTCAAGGATGGCCACTGCATAAGGGTTATTACCCACAAACCCGTCTCCGAATGTCCACTTGGTTTTGGCCTTTCTGAGCACGGAACTCAGTGCATCAAAGAAGAACTTGGAATGCCTGCTCCTCTTTGCGTTCCTCCGGACGTTATGTCACCGGAAGGAGATTCCTGCATAACCGTGACCGAGCAAGGGTTTGAATACGTCTGTCCGGACGATTATCAGTGCATTTCCCACACCATCAAGAAGGCGAAGAAATACAGCCCGCTGTGTTCCGCATGCGCCAAGACAACGGAGGCACCGCCACTCTGCGGATGCCCTGAAGGCCTGCAGGAGGTTAACGGCTCCTGCTATGATCCAGCGATTTATGCTCTCTGTCAAACTCGAGTGGCAGCCCCACGAAAGCAAGCACCGTCCAAGAAACAGGCGGCATACCCATCAAAAGAAGCTCCAGAGCCAGTGATCGACTGCAAGCCGATCAGCGCAGTCGCGTGCGAATGTCAACCTCCATTCTCGCTCGAATGTGCCGGAGATGTGTGCAGATGCCTCCACCGGCTAGTTCTTCCAACGATGCCCGTATGCAGAGGAGAGATCGACCCAGCCGGGAACTGCCTAACCCCAGCCAAAACGCGCCTTTTGTATACTTGCCCAGAAGGCTTCACGTGCGACGTCGTGGACAAAAAGGGCCACTGCCGCTGTACACGGGTCATAGTCGCGGATCCCATCCCCAGATGTCTCGTAGGAGAGCCCCACGACACCAGATGCATTGAGGTCATCAGAGAAGAAAAGATCTTGGACTGCCCACCCGGATTCACCGAAAGTTGCTGTGACAATCAGTGCACCTGCACGAGGACACACTTGGCCGTAAGACAGGTCAAGTGTGAAGATGGTGCAGTGAGCATTCAAGGGCAGTGCGCTTACGTATCGAAACCTTCTCTCGGATGCTACGAAGTAAGTTTCTACGCATTTTATGTGCTGTTAATCTTTCCAAACAAACGCCGTTCCAGGGTATGCTTCGAGGGGATAGATGCGTCCAAGAGGTCATCGTACCGCCCACCTGCGGATAGAGTTAGACTTTCCGATGCGGCCATCGTGTGTCTCAAAATGGTCTCAATCCAATCGCATAAAACAAATCGCAATTGCTTTTGAAAGATCGATTTTTTGAGAGAACCGGCTCGCTCTTAATCTGTTCCGCGTGAAAATTGTTCAACCTCCTTAATAGCGTCACGCTGAGCTGTCAACCGGCCATTTAGGTCGGGTTCAGACAGATCTGGCGACAGCACTTTGTGCATAACCAAAGACCCGGCCGCAAATGAGAGAAACCCTAGACCGAGGGACCAGAGGTAGTCTCTAAGTGCTAAACCAGCCGCCATTGCTGAAAGCGGTGAATGAGTAAGCAGAGTAGGAACTGTGGATTTGCCGAGTGCAACCTCGTAAACCTAGTGTGTTTGAACCGAACCGGCCGCTTTCCTCTTCCTTTCCAGCCTTGAGCGAATCTGCGCCGGCTTCAATAATTTCGCCTCCAAAAGTGTAACTTAGACAATTTTCCCCTTGTTTAACACAGATTCGTAAACATTTATTGTAACAGATGCAAAAACCACGAAAATTCTAGCGCCTTCATCCGGCCACGTCGTTGGGTCTGCAAGCGCTCGTCCAAGCTGCCTTTCCGTAATGGAGCCGGGGCTGGATAGTCGTTCCCGAGATAAACTACTGCATGCAACGTATTAAACAGTGCCAGAAATATTCTTAAGCTGGCCAAATTTTGGAATAGCAATATCCGGCTGAAGAGTCCTTATTAGGCCCTAGAGAATCTCTGTAGGGAATCTCAAGGGTTCAGGAGCCCAGTCTCTACCCCTGGATCGACGTAGACAATTTTTTCGGCGTCGGCTGGTCTAAGATATTGAGAAATACAACAAAAGGCAGTAGCATCCAGTAAGCAGGATAGGCTTTATTTTCACGCACGGCACGGTTTGTCTTCCTGCACGGCACGGGGTAGTGCTCACTCGACCTCGCGTATGTTCGCTGGGCCCCTCGCCCCACACAAATATATTCAGCGATATACAAGGTGAGTAAGGGTTTTTCGGCGACCAGCAACATCTAAGACATCCATCTTGTTGCATTTTGGCGACAAATTTTTAGTTGGACAGGTTACAGATTTTCCATGGAACGAATTTGTCTTCATCGAAGCTGGCTAGCTAAGGATATCGTCTGCCTCCGGAGCTACCTCCTTTACAACGCCAGAATGCCAGTAATTCCAGAAAGGGCAGATGTCTCTATTTGCTTCTAGCATGTTTCAGATTGGCAAGCTTGAGGTGGTGGTGCTTCTCAGCTCGCGTGGTTTTCGCTGACGTTGCTCCGTTGCCTCTGTGCAGGCTGGCTATCCAGGGCCAAGCCGGTGTTTACCAATTCTCCATAGTTGTAGTTTGCGCAGGAAATGCAGATTAGTTATGCTTGCGTATGGGGTAGCCTTACAGCAGGAGTTCCACCAAGTGGTGCAAATTATATGACGGGTGGCACTTCTTCGGGCCAGCCGCAGGCCGTTATGAAGCTGCGCCCAGCACGATTGGGGCGGGAAAGTCAGATGCTTCTGAGAAAAGGTGTTTTTGATTTTACTGCAGTTCACGACGGTCTTCGGCACAGACCGAGAACCCCTACACATCTATATTTACCTGGTTCGGGGATGACCTGCAATCTTCGAATAACAGCAGGTTGTCGACTGCAACACTAGGAAATTGGCTTTTAAGTAACGATCCAGGCGATAGACCCGGACGAATTTATGTGTATATTGGGCATCCTGGAAGTGGAATGGTCAGAAACGCAGCAGTACTGTAAGGGGAGCTTTCTTACTTGAAAGAAACAGATAACTCATTGCTGGCGCTGCAGCCGGATCCGCGCCTGAGTGCACGGTGATCAGCGACTGCTCAGGAAGATGCAGAAAAGGCATATGATAGTGTTGAAGGCTGCTGATGCCTCGGGGTTGCAGAGGCTTTTGGACATAGCCATAGAAGCATTTGCGTTACATGCTATTTTTTTGTTGGCCGAATCTCGGCATCACTCATATTTGCTGTCACAAGCAGCATCTAGGAGGGTGTAGGGGAGTGCATCTAACACTGCACTTTCGGTGTTTACACTTTGCCCATGTTGCAACTACCCGGAAACCTCCTTACCTCTCAACCTGCGAACTGGCGAAACTGACCTAAGCAATGAATGCAACTCGAACTTGCGGTGCGCATTTTTGCTGGAAGGCCTTACAGTGGAGGAGACGTGAAGGATCTTCTGCACACATGGGGAGTAAAGGTGCACAAATAATTAAATGCCAGAAGGAGAAAAGCGTCGATTAAATGAATATATTCTGTACTTCTCCTGTCGTCTTTTAGCCAGCATCGCCATCTTACCGGTATATGACGGCTCAGACTCGTGTCAGCACGCAGCGAGTAGAGGATCGCTGAAGAATAGGTACTAACTGAATAGAACTATAATCCCTCTTTACAAAATAGCCAGAGTTAGGCTTCCACTTAAAACAAGAGGAAGCTTCAATAGGGTTCTCAAGGCAAACGATGTGCATTCCTTCACTTGGCCGTGAGCGCTCAGATGCACGGGTTTAGTGTTTGGGGCTCGATTCTAGACACTCCACCTCTAGAGGAAGGCTTTCCTAATTTCCGTAATTGCTTTAAACTGAAGAGTGCCCGATCTAATGATTTCTCAACACTACTGATGATCTGCGGTCAACAACCGCGGCGCAAGATGCGGCGTGAGGGCGTCGGGGAGAAGCACGGGGCAAGACACAGCTTACAAGGAGGGCACGTAAGCATTGCAAATATATTTTGCTACATTACACGCACAAACGATCAAAATATCGGCAGGAATTGCTACAGTAAAGAGGGTACCGCTGCTGCAAACACCAGTGCAAACAGCAACGCACCGAGGAAACTGGAAGGTTTGTTTGGGGGATGGCTATGTTGAGATGCGCGAGCTTATCAAGAAACTATGGAATAGAAGGCGGCAAAGATCACTGCTGGTTAAACGACTCGTGTAGGAAGCAGACGCCTGCACCATATTCAGAAACCAAGTAGAACGGGGAGGAGCCCTGGTGAAGCGTGTGCGAATGAAGTGAGTAAATCCCCTGAGAACATTTACAATAAGTTTGCTTGATGGCAGTAAGCAGTATTGGTGGGGGTTCATTATTACTAAAGTTGTGGAAGCACGTTAACGAAGAAGACAGCCCTCCTTGCCCCCGAGGATGTATACTGCATACCGCCCCACGAGACACAGACCCGAAAAAGAAAGGAGAATAATAAGTGCTTCAAATTGACGAGTAGTTCAATGAAAATTACTTTCTGAATTGTGTTTTCTTCTAATTACACTACGACGTGAAGTTGATTAGATGCTGCACACGGCAAGCAACAGTCTTTCGTTGTTCTCAGCGGAGCTCTCTGGTTGTTGTCTGTCGGTCTGAAGCGATCCGCCGTTCGTTTGAAAATATTTCTCCCAGCAGCCTGCGGCTTGTGAGGGAGTTTAGGAGAGGAAAACACGAGCAAAGAGATATAATCTTGTTTCATTCTATATATTGTTTCACTAGCATAACCTTGTTTCACTTCTAAAGGCCCGAGCCACTGCCGAGTGCAACTGACTGCCGACTGGTCTGCCGTCGACTCAGGCTTGAACGCCTCCCGACTTGAACTGCGGCCCGGCGGGGCTGGCGAAATGCTTTCTACAATATGTTTTGTTTTATTTTGAAATAAATACATTTAAACCCGCCATGAATGATAATACTCTGCCGAAGTACCACCGGGTATAACGGAATATTGTTGGCACGCACGGAGAGTTGTTGTGCCGGAAACAGGTCTGCGTTTCCTTTCTTTCTCTCGATTTTGTTAGAATTTTTCGTTGACATATCTTCTTTTTAGGTTATAATGAACTCTTTGAACCCCCTGTCGCGTCGTTTGGGGGCGGCATCCCGGATTTCGTTTCTTGTATGTTTCGGCCTGTTGCTGCTTTCGCGCGGCGCAGCGGCATTTGAAAAGTGGGAGAGGCCTTTGGGCTGGAACCCTCAGTACGGGCCTCGCTATGTGGTGTACTGGGGGGGCTCTGCATCCTCGCAGGAACCTGTATTGGGAACATGCACATACAGCCACTACGCGGCGCCTCCTGAAGGGTCTGCGTTTCCGCTTTCTTCTTTCGAGGATTACCACATAGCCAACTTGTATGAAGATTCTCTTTCTAGCAGTTTTTCTCCTTTCACACGAGACGAGAACNCCGTCAGCACGAGGCGTTCCTTTTCAGGTTTCTGCAGAGACATTGAACAGAGTGTTGCGGGCCATGAAGGCCGTGGCGCTCGACCTCTCTTTGAGTTACCTACGAAGACTGGGAGAGCTGCAGGGGCCCCCGCCCGCCGCAGTTGCATCTAAGCTGGAGGCAGAGGGTGCGCGTCTGTTTGTGGTGGTGCTGGAGGTGTACAGCACGATGAGCAAAAAGGAATTACCTTCTGAGGAGCTATCGGCGACAATATCTGCTAAACTAGAACTCGTATCACACACAATACAAGCACAAAGCAACTGGGAAGCAGATAAATTGTTGTATTGGCTTGAGGCTTCATCGCAGCAGCAGCCAGCTGAGGGTTCGCCGCTGTACGTGGCGGAGATGGAAACATCTCTATGGCTTTCTTCTCTCCAGGCTCTTTCTTTTTCTTCTGCTGCACAAGAAAGTCCTTATACTCAACTTGTCGGCCTCTCTCCCTCTCCTTTCCTTGACTGTGAACACTTCGCCTCCACCCAGACCCTACCAAACCTAGCAGCAAAAGAAACGTTATGCAACGATTCCTTCTTCGGTGTATCTGTGGCCCTGCAGAGAGCAGCAGCACAAGTAGCAGCTTTCAGCAGCGAGAGAGGAAAACCNTCGGTGTATCTGTGGCCCTGCAGAGAGCAGCAGCACAAGTAGCAGCTTTCAGCAGCGAGAGAGGAAAACCTATCATAGAACAAGCAGCAGCACGTCTCCATACAGCAACAATAGAAGCAGCAAAAAATACAAAACCAGAAAGCCCTTTCTATCCAATAGCAGCGCAGCTGCTGCAGGGTGCAGCAGCAGCAAAGTAAGGATAGAAACAACTGACACACATAAAACATACAACACTCACAAGCTAAATATAAACAAACAGAATAAATAAAAAAACAAAAACTAACAGTTCATCATCTCTCCTGCTGGCGGCTAGCTGGGGTACACTGCAGCCGTAGCTAGCTAGCTACGGCTAGCTACAGCTAGCTACGACAATATAATTTTCTGATGCAGCTAGCTACGGTTGTTTTCTTTCGCTAGCTGCTGTGGCTAGCTGCAGGCAAGATGCCTCTCCATTTGTTTTAAGTTCAGAAAGAAGAACATTTATTTCATTTCATTTGTCTGTATACGTTCTTGTTTGTTTAGTGCTGCTGCTTACGCGTCAGCAGCAGCAGAGAAAATCAATAGAAAGCAGAGCTTTCTTTATAGAGAAAGAGAGAGCAGCCGTCGGGTGTATAGGCAGCATACACAGTATACGGTGTATGTACACTTCAATACAAGTACAGAAACCTCTTCAACATTTTTTTTTCTTTTTATATTTTTCTTTTCGCTGTTTGTTGCTGAGGGTTTGTTGCTGTGAAAAGTTCGGCTCTGCGGTGTATGTGTGCATGCGGTGTACATACACCCCAATACTACTAACTATTTCATTTGGTTTTGTTTGTTTAGGAGTACAAGCTTTCTACTGCTTCATTCTTTTTATTCTCTTTATGCTAGAGAAGCAGTAAACCGAGATGTAGTTATATGTATATATATATATATATATATATATATATATATATATATATATATATATATATATATATA